ATAAAATAACAAAAACAATGCTCAAGGACTGTTTTTTTTTTGTCTCTGGATAAAAACTTGTGTGAAAAATGCTGAAACCAATTCATCAGCAATCCCTAAGGTTTTTTATGTCACTTTTGCAGGAGTACACCACTTCACATGCTGGTTTAAAGTGGTTGTAAACCCTTACATATACCTAGTGAATTGACTGGCCACAGGTGATACACAAAGATGAAACAAATCCTACATAAGTTGAATCTGTCTATCTGCAGTCTTCTCTTCTCTACATCATAAAAAGGGGGCAGAGAGCTGAAGTTACACTCTGCAGAGCTCAGTGAGGAGAGCTCTGAGAGCTGATTGGAGGAAAGGGACATACCCAGGGGTGGACTGACAACTCATGGGGCCCCCGGGCAATAGGGGATCATGGGGCCCTGTGTCCTTGCCCAAACTCAAAAAAGCCTATGAAAAAGGTACCAGGGGCATCTCATGGGGCCCCCTACTGACCCCGGGCCCTCGGGCAGTGCCTGATTTTCCAAATGGTCAGTCTGCCCCTGGACATACCCCCCTCCACACATCTCACAGAAACAGAGCTGAGGCTGTCAATCTGGTGGAGCTCCCTGCCCTGTCACCATTTGGTGTCAGAAAAACTTATCAGACGTGAGTTATGCTGCTAACAGAGGAATAAAGCAGCAGACAGAAATGACACTTAGTACTCTTAATTGAGACAACTACAGTGTATATACTATAGAGGGATATGCTTTGTTCATATTTCATGTCCAAGGTTTACATCCACATTAAGGCAGTTCATAAGCTTGTTGCGGCTCGGAAGTGAACCCACATGAGTGCCCCCAGAGCAAGTCGCTTGCTCTAGGGGCACTCAGAAGGGAGAAAGGGTCAGGAAACGCTTTCAGGGGACCCAAGAAGAGGAGGATCAGGGCTGCTCTGTGCAAAACCATAGGGCACAGTATTAAATAATATGTGTGTTATTTAAAAAAAAAAAAAACACACAAGCCAATAATATCACTTTAAGGGCTAATCCACAATGCCCATATGCTAAACACTCAATTTAGCATGTGGTCAGCCTTCAGGTTTTCCCTGCAGTGAGCTGCAGTCGGGACGATGAGCATTTCAGTCCTTTGCACTATTTACTATTTTCTATATTTTCTATGTGCCCTTGTGGTAACCATCATTTATCCAGCGCCGGATAAGGCAGTCACTGCATATACTGTGAACAAGCCCCCAAATGATTTGTGTATTTCTAATGTTGCCCTTGAAGTTGCAATTAAAGGCCCGCTGTTTGCTGAACTGTATTTTTTAAAATTCTATTTCAAATTAGTACATATCCCTCATTGCCTAGCTATCCATGCCCTGTTTTACAAAAAGCTTGCAAACTGGCCTTGAAATGGCCAAAAAAAGAATTCCGAGATAGATTTGCTTCTATAGACATAAGTGGGGTTCAGTACTATGTATGAGGTTTGCAGGTTTTTTTAATATTCAGCAAATGTCCAGTGAAGTGAAATTTTCCCAGTTCACTCATCACTACCCAAGAATAACTACTGCCAATTTGTTTCCAGAATATTGTGAGGATTGACTATTTCTTTGTGTACTTTCAAGACTATACATTTTACCGGGTGCTCATTAGTTGCTTGTGTACTTCTCACAACTGCCCATTTTTGTCCACATATTGTTACATTTGCCTGTATGCCATACTGTCACGATCATCTGTATTTTTGCCTGTTGAGTGCATTGATTCCCCATGTGTTGTCCTTATATTATCACTATTGTCCATTGCTTGTTTCCATGCTGTCAAGTTTGCCCATTTATTGCCCATGTACCGTACAGAATAATTTTTTAAGTCACCAAGGTTCAAATAAGCACTTGCCATCCACCCTATAGCAGAAGTACTGCTACAGCGTGGCACGGCTGGGCAAAATCACGTAGATATAGTGTGATTTGCATTTCAGGGTAGGGGGCACGTGCGCTGCTATTGGCAGCTAGGGATGTCAATCACCAGGTCCTGGCCGTTGATTCCTGGCTGGCACTCAGTGATCATTGGCAAAGCTGACAGGGGAGAGACCTGCGTATAAACAACATACAGTTGCAAGAAAAAGTATGTGAGCCCCTTGGGATTACGTGGAGTTTTGCATGAACTGGGCATAAAATGTGCTCCTGAACGTCATCTAAGTCACAACAATAGAAGAACACAGTCTGCTGAACATAATACTACACAAACATTAGATGTTGCCATGGTTTAATTGCACATAACATGTAAACATTCACAGTGCAGGGAGGAAAAAGTATGTGAGGGGCCCTAGCTTAATGACTTCTCCCAGAGCTAATTGGAGCCAGGAGTGAGCCAACCTTGACTCCAATCAGTGTGATGATATTGGATGTGTTGCTGACAGCTGTCCTGCCCTAAAAAACACACACCTGTTTTGGGTTTACTGGTTTCAAGAAGCACTGTCTGATGTGAACCATGCCTCGCAGAAAAGTAAGCTCTCAGAAGACCTACAATCAAGAATTGTTGACTTGCATGAAGCTGGAAAGGGTTACAAAAGTATCTCCTTGAGCCTTGATGTTCATGTGTCCACGGTAAGACAGACTGTCTACAAATGGAGAAAGTTTAGCACTGTTGCTACTCTCCCTAGGCGTGGTCTTCCTGTAAAAATGACTGCAAGAGCACAGCGCAGAATGCTGCATGAGGTAAAGAAGAATCCAGAGTGTCAGCTAAAGACCTACAGAAATCTCTGGCACATGCTAACATTTTTGTTGACACATCTACAATAAGGAAAACATTAAACAAGAATGGAGTACATGGGAGGACACCACGGAGGAAGCCATTGCTGTCCAAAAAGAAGATTGCAGCACGTTTGAAGTTTGCAAAAGAGCACCTGGATGTTCCACAGCACTACTGGCAAAATATACTGTGGACAGATGAAACCAAGATTGAGTTGTTTGGGAAAACACACACAACACTATATGTGGAGAAAAAAAGGCACAGCACACCAACATCAAAACCTCATCCCCACTGTGAAACATGGCAGAGGGAGCATCATGGTTTGGGGCTGCTTTGCTGCCTCAGGGCCTGGACGGATTGTTGTCGTTGATGGGAAAATGAATTCCAGAGTTTATCAAGACATTTTGCATGAAAACGTACGACCATCTGTCCGCCAACTGAAGCTCCGCAGAGGATGGGTGATGCAACAGGACAATGACCCAAAGCATACAAGTCATTCAACAAAACAATGGCTGCAACAGTACAGAATACACCTTCTGGAGTGGCCCAGTCAGAGTCCTGACCTCAACCCGATTGAAATGCTGTGGCATGAACTTAAGAGAGCGATTCACACCAACATCCCAAGAATATTGCTACACTGAAACAGTTTTGTGAAGAGGAGTGGTCCAAAATGACTCCAGATCATTGTGCAGGTCTGATCTGCAACTACAGGAAACAACATTTGGTTGAGGTTATTGCTGCCAAAGGAGGGTCAACCAGTTATTAAGTCCAAAGGTTCACATACTTTTTCCTCCCTGCACTGTGAATGTTTACATGTTATGTGCAATTAAACCATGGCAACATCTAATGTTTGTGTAATATTATGTTCAGCAGACTATGTTCTTCTATTGTTGTGACTTAGATGACGTTCAGAGCACATTTTATGCCCAATTCATGCAAAACTCCACGTAATCCCAAGGGGTTCACATACTTTTTCTTTCAACTGTAGGTCTCTCTCCTGTCAGAATGGACATGCTGCTTTGTATCTCTCTGCACAGAGATACAAAACAGCGTGTCTCCAAAGTAAAACAGCACACAATGTAAAACACGCACTGTTAACTCTTTGATCACCCCAGATTTTAACCCCTTCCTGCCCAGTGTCATTAGTACAATGTCAGTGCCTTTTATTAGCACTTATTACTGTATTAGTGTCAGTGGGGATGTCAGTGGCAGTTAGTCAGTTCTCCTCCAGTGTCAGAATGCCCACCACAGTCCCGCTATAAGTCGCTGATTGCCACTATTACTAGTATTAAAAAAAAAAAAATTCCAGTGTATATACTGCCATTTGTAGATGCTATAACGTTCACGCAAACCAAGTAATTTACACGTATTGGCATTTTGTTTAGCAAAGACATGTAGCAGAATTCATTTTGGCCTAGATTTATAACGAAATGTAATTTTAAATTTTTTTTTATTGGATATGTTTTATAGCAAAAAGTAAAAAATATTGTTTTTTTTTTCAAAATTGTTGGTCTTTTTTTTCTTTATAGTGCAAAAAATAAAAACCGCAGAAGTGATCAAAAAATGACATAAATTTCCTTTATGTACAGCATTGCATGACCACGCAATTGTCAGTTAAAGTAATGTAGCGCCGTATTGCACTGGCCTGGTCAGGAAGGGGGGTAAATCCTCTGGAGGGCAAATGGTTAAAGTGTATTTCCACTTTTTCAATCAAATTTGAAATACAAACACTATATGGTATCACTGTTAATGCTGCATTGTTTCCCCTGAATGTCTCCAGATAGAGACAGAAACAGAAACATCATAAAAGAATATTAGAGATGTTCTTTCACTGCAGCTGCCAAATACATATAAACCTGCTCTGAAAAATAACTTGAATATTAAAGTCTTATTCTGATTGGTGGATGTGGAGCAATACTGACAGCTATTACAGTAACAACATTCTGATATCCGTCTACTGTATACGCAGTAGTCTGTTGTTAATTTAACCCTCTTATTTATGCATGCTTTATATTTCAACAAATATTTACTGTTGTATATACTGTAGAAACCTATGTCTGTACTCTCATATCTGTGTGGGAATATTAACCTTATTAGTATACTGGTGAAACTAAAAAAAGTAGAATATCGTGCTTGTGCACCTTTTTCTTCCACAGTTTTCCCTTCCACATAACTTTCTATTAACCACCTCCCGCCATATAGTAATATGACGGATGCAAGGTGGTTCTCTCGTTCTGGGAGGACGTCATATGATGTCCTCCCATTTTCACCGCGCATGTCCCTTGGACACAGCAGATCACCGATCACGGAAAGAGCCGAAGATGTCGGCTCGGTCATGTGATCAGCTCTGTCCAATCACAGCTGATCACATGTAAATAGGGAAATGCCGGTTATCTGCATTTCTCTCCTCTCGAGCTGTCACACTAACAGCTCTAGAGGAGAGGAGGAGGAGCCGGTAATCAGCTTTCCGTGGAGGGGACATGTACACTGTTCATCAGGGCACTGATGATCAGTGTGCTCTGATGATCAGTGTAGCCCCAGCAGCGCCACCTGTCAGTGTCCATCAGTGCCTTGTGTCAGTGTGCAGTGCCATGCCAGTGCCTTGTGCCAGTGCCCATCAGTGCCACATCAATGCCACATATCAGTGCCCATCTGAGCTGCCTTTCAGTGTCACCCATCAATGTCAATCAGTGCCACCTATCAGTGCTGCCAATCAGTGCCACCTATCAGTGCTGCCAATCAGTGCCACCTATCAGTGCCAGTCAGTGCGCCTAACAGTGCATGTCTGTGCCGCCTATCAGTGCCAGTCAGTGCCGCCTATCAGTGCCAGTCAGTGCCACCTATCAGTGCTGCCTATCAGTGCCATATATCAGTGCCATGTATCAGTGATGCCCATCAGTGATGCCTGTCAATGCCCATCAGTGCCACCTACCAGTGCCTCCTCATCAGTGCCCATCAGTACCACCTATCAGTGTCCATCAGTGCAGCCTATCAGTGCCCATCACTGCAGCCTCATTAGCGCATATCAGTGAAGGAGAAAAATCACTTATTTACAAAAATTTTATAACAAAAACTAAGAAAAAACGTTTTTTTTTTTTTAAACTTTTCAGTGGTTTTTGGTTTGTTTTCGAAAAAATAAAAAACCCAGAGGTGATTAAATACCGCCAAAATAAAGCTCCATCTGTCACAAAAAATGATAAATAATAAAAATTTCATATGGGTCCAGTGTTGCATGACCGCGCAATTTTCATTCAAAATGCGACAGCGCTGAAAGCTGGAGCTTGGCGTGGGCAGGAAGGGGGTATAAGTGCCCGGTAGGCTAGCGGTTAATGTGCTTTGATACAGCACTTTGGGAACATCCAACATCTTTTGCAATTACTTTTTGAGGCTTTCCCTCCTTATGGAGGGTGTCAATGATGGTTTTCTGCACAACTGTCAGGTCAGCAATCTTTCCCATGATTGTGATTCCTACTGAACCAGACTGAGAGACCATTTAAAGGCTCAGGAACCCTTTGCAGGTGTTATGGCTTAATTAGCTGATGAGAGTGGGACACTTTGAGCCTAGAATATTGCACCTTTTCACAATATTCTAATTTTCTGAGATTGTGGATTTGGGGTTTTCATGAGCTGTAAGCCATAATCATCACAATTATGACAAATCACGTCTTGAACTATCTTGCTTTGCATGTAATGAGTCTATCTCATATATTAGTTTCACCTTTTAAGTTGCATTGCTGAAATAAATGAACTTTTTTGCACAATATTCTAATTTTTCAAGTTTCACCTGTACTAGAAATGTAAAAATACTGCTTTTTCTTGCCACCAGTAATCTATTTCCTTACATCCATGGCTGAGCACTCTTTTGCATCACACAATGATTTTCTACAAATTACCCCTAAATAGCAATGTTTATCTTCTACACTTATGACGTGTTGTTTACAATACGTACAATTTTGTGCATAAATAGAAGCAGTCAGTGTTAGCTGAATGCTTCACTAATTGTACGCCTGGATAAATAAAGAAAATCATAGGTTTCAAGCTGCAGAGTTCTCCGTTTTGTTTAGTTTTCACATTTGTCATGTTATTGCGAAAGGCCAGTGGAACAATGTAATCGGTATAACAGGCAGTGCTACCTTGTAGTTAGACGTGTTTGATGTGAAAACACAAACTCAGTACAGATAACAATACACTTGTCTTTGGTACAAATCACAAGATGTACTGGCTAGTTCATTTTTTCTCATCAAATATGGAAGACTTTTTCTCCTGCATTTGTAAGAAATCTGAAATTCAAACTTCCAACCACACTTAAGAATAAACTCAGCTCAGTGCGATAAAAACAAGCCTGCAAGCAAATGTGTAAAAGAAGCTTCCTTCAAGTGATATTAAAGACAACATTTTAAAAATTTTTAAGATGTTATACTTATGATATTGCACAGAGAAGTCCCTTACCTCTTCTTTGATGGTCCCCCACTGGCGCTTTCCCTTCTTTCTTTCTGCAGGTGCCCCCCATGTGCTATGGAGGCACCCATGTGGGCACAATCCCATCCATGGGGCAGCACAGTGGCTAAATGGTTAGCACTTCCACCTGGCAGTACTAGGGTCATCAGTTCAAATCCCAACCATGGCACCACCTGCCTGGAGTTTGCATGTTCTCCCTGTGCCTGTGTGGATTTCCTCCAGGTACTCCAGTTTCCTCCCACACTCCAAAGATATGCTGATTGGATCCTGTCTAAATTTGCCCTAGTATGTGTATGTATGAATTTGAGTTAGGGAACTTAGATTGTACACCCCTTGAGGGTTAGGGACTGATGTGAATGTACAATATATATATATGTAAAGCATTGCATAAATTTACAGCACTATATAAGTACCTGAAATAAAATAAATAAAAACACAGAGCACAGCTCCACCCCCCATGCCTGCTCACAGGAGTCCATGGCTCACAGTGTATTTTATGAGAGTAGAATTGCTACAGCCAGGACAGCACTGGATTGTGTGAGGAGAAAGGAAAGTGTTTAGGGCAGAAAAAGTTGTGTGAGACATATTTAACCCTAATGCTGGGAATGCAATAATTTAAAAAACATTTGGACTTTATAGCCTATTGTAATAATATGGCCTGGTGGGTGCTCTGTTATTCTGGGTGGACGTCATTTGACATCCTCCCACTCGCTTGCCTCAGGGGCCACGCAGTGGCACTATTTGTGACCTGCAGTGTCCACAGGACACAGCAGAATACAGAATGTTGTACCAGGGCACTGTGCATAGCCCTGGTATCATTTCATTGCTGTGACCAATCACAGCTATCACAATAATACACAATGGCACATGAATGGATACCATTCACACTATAAAAATGATTACTTATACAGTAATCATCACCGTAATAAGCAATCATAGTGTGAAAAAAAAATCCTGATCACCTCCCCAAAGCAGTACAGTGTCAACTGCTCTGGTGACAGCATGTAAAAAATGGAAGCAAAGAAAAAAATTGTAAAAAAAAATTAAGAAAAAGTATTATTATTATTATTTTTTACATACTGTCACCAGTCAGTGTTCCTGATTACCGCCACACCAATCACATGGCAACACTATACTACTCTGGTGACAGTATGTAAAAAAAAAGACATGTTAAAATAAAATTATTTCATTTCTTAATTTTCTAAAAAATTGTGACAAAAAATTACTTCAAAACTTATCCTGCCTCTTACTAAATACCTCGGGGTGTCTACTTTCCAAAAAGTGGTTATTTTGGGAATATGTGTACTATTCTGGAATCTTAGGGCCTCAAGAAATGAAATAGGCCATTAGTACTTCAGGATTGAACAATTTTTAAATATACAGTATATCATAGTTTTTAGACTCTTCAATTTTCACACAGACTAAATAACATAGACTGATTTGGGTTATCTTTACCAAAGAAATGTAGCAGAGTACGTTTTGGCCTACATCTATGAAGAGAGATTACTAAAGTAAAGTAAGGAAAGTTTTTTTTTTTTCCGAAATTCATTTATTTATCAAAAAAAAAAAAAGCTTAGTGGTGATTAAATACCACCAAAAGAAAGCTCTATCTGTTTAAAAAAAAATTATAAAAATTTAATTTGGGTACAGTGTTGCAGGACTGAGTAATTGTCATTCAAAGTGTAACAGCGCTGAAATATGAAATTTGGCCTGGGCAGGAAGGGGGTGAAATTGTCCAGTACTGAAGTGGTCAAACACCATCAATTCCATTAAAAATCCAATTTGACCTTTTCTATTGACCCCAATGCATTTTGACAAAAATTTCTGCGAGGATAAGGGCATTTCAGCAAAATTCTGTAACAAGAATTGGGGAAGGCTAAATTAGGTGTTTTGTTTGTTTGTGTTTTAAGAATGCAATGGACCTTTTTTGTCATCAAAGCCATTCATTACCATTCATTTACCAACAATACCACTGATTGTGATGCTAGCACTCACGTGGCTTTGTTAAGAAACAAGCAGTTAGAGTTTAACATTAGTTTTAGGGTTTGTGCTTAAGTTGGCTTTGTTTATCAACAAGGTAATTTATCACTATGTAGGATTATATAATTGATATATTATGGGTGAGTGTTATTAGATTTACAGTATAATATAATCAAAATCACTATTTCCAAATTATGATTATCCCCCACACTTTCTCTAGAACTTACCAAGAATACATTTAATTGGGTTACGCTTAATGAGAAGCTTTTAGCATTTTAGAAGAAAGACACTTATATTTTGAAAAAGCCAGATTGCTTGGACTTTAATTTATGTCTAGATTAAGCAATCTGCCAGTTATTGCTCCTCTGCTTCATGTACTATTTTCCCCTAAATGTAAAGCCTGGGGAAAGCATCTGTGAGTCAGGATCCATGGCCGAGTGGTGGGTACCTGGTGTCCTGCGAAGTGTGCCCTGAATACTACAGTGAGCCTGTGAGCACAGGGGCTGATATCTTCTGTAAAGGCTGCTGCTGGGCGAGGCCAACTGCTACAGAGACCATGTGCTGAAAGCTGTCTGATGCTGTACTGAGAGCTTTTGAACCATGTGTTGCATAGAGACAGAGCTTGTACTTGGCTGTTGAGAGTCATGTGGCTTTTATACTGCTGATGAGTTGTGAGTAGTACCAGGGGCGGACTGACCATTTGGAAACTCAGGCACTGCCCGAGGGCCTGGGGTCAGTAGGGGGCCCCATGAGATGCCCCTGGTACCTTTTTCATAGGCTTTTTTGAGTTTGGGCAAGGACACAGGGGCCCCATGATCCCCTATTGCCCAGGGGCCCCATGAGTTGTCAGTCCGCCCCTGAGTAGTACTACTGTTCAGGAACTGTGCTACTCATAAAGCTTGTCCTTTTCCATGTCAAACGTCTTTTTATAGTAACCATGCTGAATATATTTTATTCCATCCACACTTTTCTCAGTTTCTACTTTCCTTGTCCACCCCTGCATCCCCCACCCACATATGCTTTATCATTTTTAAACTGCTTATTATTTGTAATAGTATACAAGCTTACCTCATAGTTAAACAATAATGTGCTGCACACCGTTCTAAAATGTTAACATGAATATTTATGTATATCCTTGATTTCTACTTGTGCATATCTGTATATGTACAAAAAAAATGGCAACCACCCCAACCTACAACTAGCCTTTACAGCATGGTGCACATGGAAGAGCAACGCATATCACAAGCAAACAAAAAATTTCCCAGCACTCTTACCAGCCAGCCTGCAAACCAACTCAGTGGACCCTGTCTAACAGTTACGTTAAAAACAGAGGGCTTTGTTTGCACACATTTACAAATATATACGTAACCTGCAGTGCCCATGACAAGGGACCTCTGTATATACTGCAGTCCTAACGCTAAAATTTTCAGAACCTCCATAGCTGGAGCACACGTAACAATGGATAGGTTAAGGGCAGGTATGCCTGGAGGGAGCTCACCCCTCCTTAAAGGCACAGAGATGCACATGACACCAGCAATAGCACGATGGCAGCGAAGGCATCCAGTGTGTCCCAGCACCCAATTTAACCAACTGTACAAAAAAAATTGGCAACCACACCAATCTATAACTAGCCTTTACAGCAAGGTACACGTGGATGGGCAACGCACATTGTAAGCAGACATAAAATTTCCCAGCATTCTTACCAGCCAACCTGCAAAACAACAGAATTGACCATGTCCAACAGTTTATGTTAAAAACAGGGTCAATTCAGTTGTTTTGCAGGCTGGCTGGTAAGAGTGTTGGGAATTTTTTTTGTATGCAATGTGCATTTCTGTTTGTATCTCTATTTTGCTACTCTTAAATATAACTGGGCTCTATTCACTAAAGCAGATCGCATTCGGTATTTAGATGATCTGACACATTTTTTCCAAATATCGCATGCAATTCACTATCCCGTTATGTAGTATTTACCTTAAAAAGCAAAAATGCTCGGTAAATACTGCATGAAACAACATTAAAGTCAGTTCACAAAAGGAAATAAATAAATGCATGCAGTAAATAAGTAATGGCCCTGCATGCAATAGTTAAGGCATGCGTGTGATTTTAGCTGTTAAAGAGCTGCCAGCCGCCATCCTTAACAGCCAGTAAATATCATGGTTGTTAAGGAGCAGACAGCGTCCACATCTTTAACAACCATGACGCATCTGCTGTCAGCAGGGTTGCCCGCTGACAGCAGCATGTGAAAAAAAGAATTACTAGCATTAAAAAAAGTTTTAAAATGTGTGCAAATTAAATAAAAACACACAGTCAGTTTTTGACAAGTCCTTTATTTAAAAGCCCCCCACAAAAATGTCCCCCAAAGTAGATTCAAAGTCAAGCACGATGAACGTTGACTGTCAACCCAAATCCACAAAAAAACCACCCTCCACCAATGCTTGGCTCCAGCCAAATGACAGCTCCATCGCCTCCCAAGGCTAAATAAACTAAAGGGCGGGGCCACCCGATGATGTCCCTGGGTGACCCCCACCCCTTTGTGATGTCATTGACCCATGATGCGCTGGTTGATAACATCACAAGGGGGTGGGGTCACCTGCTGGCATTATCAGGTTGCTCTGTCTCTTAGTTTATTTAGCCGTGGGAGGTGGCGGAGCTGTCATTCTGTGGGAGCCAAGCGTCAGTGTTGTTGTTTTTCTGTTTTACCATTTGGGTTGGCATCCAGCATGCATTGTGATTGGATCTACTTGGTTGGATCTACTTCAGGGGACATTTATTTATTTTTTGGCCTTTTAATTAACAGCTGTGTGTTTTTATTTACTTAGCACTTTATTTTGGTGAGAGAGTAGGGGTACTATGCATCCCATGCATATTCATATGAGGGGGGCAGGGATCTGGGGGCCCCCTTGTTAAAGGGGGCTTCCAGATTCTATTAAATAACCCCTGTACCCCATAACTACTGGGCCAGGGTTGCGGGAAAGAGGCCCTTGCCCTCATCAAAAAGCACATATCCCAAGTTGAGGGCTTGTGGCCCTGTATGGTTGGGGGAGTGGCGCTCAGCTGCCCCCCTCCCCTTCCTGGCCTGCCGAGCTGCACACTCAGATAAGGTTCTGGCATGGATTTGGGGGGGAACCCATGCCATTTTTTTTATTTTGAAGTGGGGTTCCTTAGGGTTTCTTCTTTTGTTTACATTCTGCTGTCAGCGGGAAATCTTGCTGACAGCAGATGAGCCATGGTTGTTAAGGACGCCGTGGCCACCCACTCCTTAACAACCAAGTTGTTTTACTGATTTTACTGGTTGTTAAGGACGCTGGCGGATACCAGCTCCTTAACATATTGAATCACTTCATAAAATAGCACATGCAGTATTTTAGGAGTGTTTTTTAGTGAATTGCAAAAAAGTTTTTGAAAAAACGCTAAGATACTACTTTGTGAATTGAATCCTCTGTATACTATCTTTGCATTCTTGAAACAATAATTAAGAACAATGGAAAATATTTTTATTGGAATAATATATAGTGTTTGTTTTGCATTTTTTATTAATTTGATCTGTTCCCATATCATACATTCAGCACAAAAGAGAAGGGGAGCAGTACAGCTCAAACTTTACAGCTGCCCATAAACTGTACAAGTTGGTCAATCACAGTCACAATCTAACCTGCCTTGGGGACAACTCTCACAACAGTTTCTATATTTTCTCCTTATTTCTCCATTCATACAACTGATCAGAGAAAGAGATGTTTCTTATATTCTAAGTGAATCAGCGTGAAAGCATCTGCTGACAGAGTGCTCTAAACCCTTCAGTAGCAGATGATCTCTCATCAATCGCTGCCAAGAAAAGTTGTGACTACACAGTCTGTGGCTCCATTATATGCTAAAGTTTCCATTTGTGTGGATTTTCTTTCCAAGGCATTTTTTGTAAATTTCTTACTCTACTTTTTGTCAAAAAGACATTAAAAGATTAAATTTAAAGAAATCAGAACAAAATATGTAATTATAATTAGTGAAAATATTATTTTACCTTCGCAATAGATGCACTAGTTCCAGGTGGCTCAAAGCTTTAAAGTAAATAGATCAGCATGACTGCCAAGCAGATACCATTTTCAGTATGAGAGGAAAACAAGGATAGTCAGCAGCATTTCTAAGGTCCTAGACTTTGGGTACCTCTAGGCACACAAACTAAAATGTAGAGGGACTAGTAGGATACCACGATGACCACTTTGGATAAAATCTAATAATAATATAATATTTTTCACTGAACTAAACTGAATTGGTCTAAAAACTGTATTATCATAATATTATGATTGCAAAATAAAGAATAGTTGGATTGAAAAGTAGATACATTAAATGTTCCAAAACTGTATAATGCAAATAATGCATCATTTCCATATCTCAAAGTATACCTGGGGCAATCAATAGAAGACCTGGGGTATGTACCATGGGTGCCAGAGTCTAGCAACACCCTTGATGGTTTCTCATGAGACAAAATTCCTTTAAAGCTATAAAACAGTTCATTTAGACAGAACACTTAAAACTTATCCTTACTGAATACTTTTTGTAACAATATGAAGAAATTGTATTACCTGTGTGCTGATGTGCTCCTGAGATACAGGTTATATTTCTCTTCAGCAGACAGGCCATCCATCATTAGGTAAAATATTAGGAAGTTACTTTGGCCTTGAGCTTGAGCGATGAGACGGGTCTTCTCCAGCATATATGTGTACAGTCTGGCTAGAATTAGAAAAGATTTGTGTGAGAAACCATTTTAGCAATTTGTTCAAAGAATGATCTGCCATACTCAGGTAACCACTAAGTTACATTTATCCTTCAGAATGACATGGATCATATTTACATTGTACATTAAGGTTCATTTTATTTCAGAATTTGTAAAGGAAAACATTTGAGAGACAACACAAAATAGCTTTACTCTTTTTTTTAAAGTGTTGGTTAAAGAGAATATATAGTGGATTTGTACATATTTTCTACGGTCAGGAAAATATAAATATTGCTTATCAATAGATTGTATTCTATAGGTGCAGTGGATTAATGAGTTGGCAAATTAGCAAGAAGCCAACATGTTCACTTTTTCCTGTAAATGTTCAACAAATCTGCTGCCACGACCTTCATTTCTTCAAAGTTAGCTATTAACTGATGGCTGCCATTCCTTCAAGTTAGGCATATCATCAATGCTCCAATGTCAAAGAATCTGCGATTTTGCTGAATTTAATAGGTGAATAGTGTTTTCTTGTAGGTGCATGCTGGATTTCAAGTGTAAAAAAAAGTCTGAATTTTAAGGGGGGATTGTTCTGTAGTTTGGTGGATCAAGCCTCTGACGAAGTTCCAAAAGAGGGTAATTTTTGGACACAACCTGCATATATGTAGGACAGAGCCTATTTCATTACAACCTAGCCAGCATTTTTTGGGGGAAACATGTACCACTGAGAAAAAAGTCTATACATAGGGGTTGATTTGCTAAAACTATGAAGTGCAAAATTTGGTGCAGCTGTTTCATGGTAGCCGATTAGCTTCTAACTTCAGCTTGTTCAGTTAAGCTTTGACAAAAAAGCTTGATTGGTTTCTATGCACAGCTGCACCAGATTTTGCATTCTCCAGTTTTTAGTAAATCAACCCTACATACGTTTAGTATCTAGTGCTGATAGAGCACGTTTTCCTCATTGGGAATATGTTAACTATGTCTGAAGTTCATATGTCCATTGTTTCTTAAAAGAAAGGTGGAAGTTTACTTTTATGAATGAGAAAACAGAGTATAAGATATTGATACTCCTTGCTTGGTATGCAAGTCGAAGAGAAATACTGTATTTGTTCCCAGTGTATGACAAACTTGAAAAAAAAATTGCTTTTGTTTGTAGTTAGCTATAAAATGTCGACATTACAAATATTGCTGGTTAAAAAGTGGGCACAATAAAACAATTTGTTTCAAGTCCACTTTGTCACAGAGTTTACCCCTATCTGTAATACAATTGACTAGTACATGTCTGCGAAAACTGTTTTTGAAAGACACCTCAATTTGAGATCCTGGGTGAAATTCAGGAAATTCAGGGTTGTCAGGGGAGTTAAGGCCCGGAACAGCAGAAAATTGAGAGAGTGAGCCTATACACTCCACAAACGTGGAGCTCCAGTCTCCTGTTAATAAAATAAAAGTCAGTAGCTACAAAAACTGTAGCTGATGACTTTTAAAAAACAGCCAATCATCTGCCCCTCGACCTAGCGCTGTGCTCGTTGCAGCCGGTTTCACCGCCAGTCTTCTGTTTGGCACTGGCATCTTAAGCATAGGTACCTGGCTTTGACAGCTTGTGGCTTCACAGCCAGGTGCACACTGCATATGTGTAAGTAGCACTGCTCTCTTCCGCCCTCCCACAGTCTTCTGGGACACGCGACAGGTCCCAGAAGACTGTGGGAGGGGGGAGGAGAACTACCACTTCTGATTGCCTAAGGCAATCAGAGTGGAAGTGGGAGCGGGTACCTGTCAAAATTGGGTACCCGCTCCTCAAAGGTACTTATCCTTAATGGGGAGCAGGGAAAGAGTCCTTAAAGCGAAACTTTCCCTTTTGGGTGAAGCTCCACTTTAAGTAAACGATACCTATAAAAAGCTTATAGTTCCTGTAAAGGAATTTAGAATAAAGGATTTGCAATAAAGGATTTAGCTATCTAGGGAAGGTTGTGATATTGCATTCTAGATTGTCTCCTCTTAGGACTACCTGGGCTTTCTGTGAGGCATGACAGCGCCAGTACAATACTCTATTCAAAATACAGGCTTCATTGTAGAGATTAAGGTTGGGGATCCCCAGTCCAACCTTTGGGCTGCACCAGGAATGCATTTGCCTACGTTTAATCCCAATTTAGTTCTTGCAAATACAGAGAAAAAACTTGTTTATCTGCCAAAAATGAATTCTTCATTTTCTATCAAAGGCTGACAACATACAGTATTTTTGAAGTCTGAGTTTTGGCAAAATCACTTTTGCTAAACTACTAGTTGTCAGTTCAAACCTCAACCACCACACTACCTGCCTGGAATTTGCATGTTCTCCTTGTGCTTGTGTGGCTTTCCTCTGGGTACTCCAGTTTCCTCCAATATTCCAAAGACAGGCTGGTAGGTTAATAGGCTGCTGTCTAAATTGGCTCTAGTATGTATGAATGTTAATTAGGGACCTTAGATTGTAAGCTCCTTGAGGGCAGGGACTAATGCGAATGTACAACTATACAGGTTGAGTGCTGCATAAATTAAAGGAGCTATATAAGTACCTGTAATAAATAAATGAATAAATTACTTAATCACATTCACTATCCTTATCTCCAAAGCATAAGCACTAGTTGACTATGATAAGAAGTAGGAGCAATAAATAGATTCTTTGAAATAACACAGAAAGTATGCACACTACAACTCTGAATTTCAATAGGTCAATAGGTTATTTTACGCTTAGAAAATAGATATAACAAATGCCTTATTAATATATATTTACAAGACCAAGAGAAGGCAAATAAGGGAAGTTCATTTACAATTATTTCAGAAATGTACTATATATATATATATATATATATATATATATATATACACACAGTATATCCCTTAGTTCTTCTGGGGAGAAATCCATAAACATGTAACTCTTCTTCTGTACTGCCCTCCTCGCCCAAGTCTGTTTATGTTGGTTGTTGCTATTTAATTGGAAATGTCTTTAGTGGCACTTTCTTAATTTTGCTGGTTAATTGGTCAGGGCATTCTGCTAACTGCCTGTTCCATTTATACAATGTAGTATAAGTCAATATAGGTCTCAGATGTATAATGCATTGTCCTTTGACAACAGTAGTGTGAGCTCTCCACTGTTAGTCTACTGGCCTTGACCCTGCTATGGTTGTCAATAAATGCTATTGAACTGACAGGTTTATACTAACAAGCCTGAGGTGTAACTGCACTGTTAATGAGCTCTAGGATTTATGACAAGTATATCCCATAACACACATAATAATATTCAAATTTGGATGTAACTAAGAATCTTTTCAATATTTTGATAATGGAGTATTACAGTCTTCATAACATAATCATTCATATTATAACATATAGACTGATCGTTTCTTTGTGAGTCGGCAAACATTCAAAATCAGCAGGGGATCAAATACTGTACTTTAGTGAGCGAATTAGACACCCAAAGCGTCCCTATACATCTAAATTATTTTCAGTAATAAAAATGAAATGAAACAAAAAATATTTGCCAGAAAAGAAAAACTGAAGATTGTAGTGCTTTACTACATTGGTGGTCACTGAAAAAAATGCTCCATTACATTGGGTCAGTAGAAGTACCTCCCTACATTGTTGGTTAGTGAAGTACCCATTTACATTGGTGGTCAGTGTACAAGTGGTCCTGTGACCTGTTTTGAGCTGACAGCGGGCTGAAGCCTGCTATCGGCTGACATCACAGATTTGGTCCTGGCTGGGGAAGGATCGTGACCATATTGTCAGTAAGCAGCTGTGAGCCTGAGCCAGCCACTCCCTCCCCTCCACAGCCCAGTGCTCCAGTGAGCATGGGAGGGGGCAGAGCTGACAGTGGTCATGTGACTGAGTTCTCACCCTTAGAGCTGGAGGGGGACAGATGCAGTACTGAACCGATGCTGCACCTACCTAGGTAAGTATGATTTGTAAAAAAAAAAAAAATGTTTCCCATACTTCTCTTTTAAATATTTATTCGTATAATAATATATAAAAGATGTTATTAACCAATCACAACTAGAACAGTTTTCTTTTAGGCTTCTAACCCACTGCTTACCTTTCTCTACTTTGACACTGAACATTAAATGCCCCTTTAACTCTCAAACAGATTCAACATTTCTGAAAACCTTTGAAATAATATTAAAAATAATTATTTTAAGTAGATGATAAATATATGTTACCTCCCCATAAAGTTGATGTCCTTTCACAAAACTGTAGCTCAAGAAATTTTATGAAACGACTAGAAGAATTATTAAGTGTTGTTTTGGCATGCCCAAATGCTTCTAGGATTGTATTTACCTGTAATATAAAAAACATCTTAATCTCTGGTTTCCTCTAGTGGGAAAGGTATGTCACAGCAAAAGTACAGAACTAATAAAAATATTACTAAAGCATAACAGACATTGCGGCAATCATTTGTACATTACCAAATGAGTTTGAAAATAGTTGCTACTAATTATAGTTGTATCAAAAATGACCAAATATTCTCACCCAGATATATGTTTAGAAATTCTGAACTCCCATCTGTGAAACAGAGTTTATTTTATTAGTTTATTAGAGAGTTGTTGGACATAGAAGCACCAATCTAACCACCTGAAAGTTTTTCACAGGCTGTATTTGAGGTGCTTTCTCATTGCATAACATAGATAAATGTTAAAGAATATGTTAACCTAACATTTCATATTCCTGATAAAGCCTGCTGCAACATGTACTTGTATGAAAAAGCCTGCCTAAAATCTTTTTTAAACCTTTTCCTTTCCATGGACAGTTTAAAGTGTATGTTACTCTAATATTTCATATTTGTGATATGTGTATGTTGTTAAAAAGTATCCTGTTCTCCTTGCATTGCTTTCTTTGTGTGTCCCTCTGCTTTCCTATTAACAACTGACCAAACTAGGGAGGAGTGCACAGCGTGGTCAGTTTTATGGCTGTGCTGGGAACTCAGTGTGCTCTCCTCCAATGATTTGTCTTGTAGTGACACACCCTCCTTGCACAATTATTCACTGGGAAGATCAGTGGTCTGCTGTTTCTCCATCCCCAGCTCTCTAAGGTCCTTATGCAGCTGAGAACAGAGATTATGTGATCTCCTATATAAAAGGGAAAAAAAAGGTATTTTTAAAGTTTTTTTTAATATATATACACAAATGTTTTGCCTTTCATTTCTATTTTAAACTGAATGGATTGTTTTACAAGGTTAGGGTTCACATATACTTTAAAGTGCTATTATTTTGTGACTCCGGCTATTACTTGTTTCAAAACTTTTTTTCAGCCAGACTATGTAACTACACTCACCGTCCAGTTTATTAGGTACACCTGTTCATTTGCTTGGTAACACAAATTGCTAGACAGTCAATCACATGGCAGCAACTCAATGCATTTAGGCATCTAGATATGCTGAAGATGACTTGCTGAAATTCAAACCGAGCAGCAGAATGGGGAAGAAAAGGGATTTAAGTGACTTTGAACATGGCATGGTTGTTGGTACCAGACAGGCTGATGTGAGTATTTCAGAAACTGCTGATCTACTGAGATTTGCATGCACAGCAATCTCTAGGGTTTACAGAGAATGGTCCAAAAAAGAGAAAATATCCAGTGAGCAGCAGTTGTGTGGACAAAAATGCCTTGTAGATGTCTGAGGTCAGATGGGCAGACTGGTTCGAGATGATAGAAAGGTAACAGTAACTCATGTCAATATGGACCAAAATCTCTGAGGAATATTTCCAACACCTTGCTGAATCTATGCCATGAAGAATTAAGGCAGTTCTGAAAGCAAAAAAGGGGTCCAACAAGGTGCTAGCAAGGTGTACTTAATAAAGTGGCCTCTGAGAGTATGTGACTATGTAAAACAAAATCTTGCTTTTCAGTTTGAACATCATTATTTACAGACCATTGTTAAATGTCTAATTTTGAACAATAGGCAAGGAAATACCTATCCTGCCCTCAGCTAATAATGGAATCTTCTACTCCTCCTACCAGTCCATCCCCCACAGTTATTACCTTTTGTACCACTAGCCCCTCCCTCTTAGATTGTAAGCTCCAAGGAGCAGGGCCCTCCTATCCCTCTTGTATTGAACTGTATTGTTGCTGTATTGTCTCCCGTTAGCGCTATATAAATCCTGTCTAATAATAATAATAGTACCTGAAAAAGTCACAGCCAGGACCTTTCACAATATTTTCACAATTTTACTGAGCACTTCTATGATAATTTTTATTTGCACTGACATTTAAATTTTCAGGACAAGCTTTCAGGGTTTTCCAGACTTTTTGGTCCCAGCAGTACTGTCCAATGGGCAGTCCAAGCTACAATGGGGTATCATCATGCATCATTAGTGAGTGTCCAAGCACTCACTTCCCCGTACCTAAAGATAGGTCTGAAAAAAAGACACAACATATTCAGTAGCTAAACCTATGGTGCAGTAACAGCAGGATAAAGCCACATAATCGTTCTGTAGCCACCTTTGCCCTTGTCAGCATGAAGCAGCAAAAATCAACGCATGCACATATACACTCCATGTATAGCAGAAATATATCAGTCCCCTGCTCTCAAGAGTGATGTACAAATATGCAACTGTGAAACATTCTTTGTGTATGAAATATCAGCACTGGCCTTGCTGCCCTCTAGAGATTGGGGAAAAACCCACAGGAACCAACTGTAAAAACAAAGGAAAACAGGGGGTGCACCAGCCTTGTGCATTACCTAGGGTAATAGCTTTATTCATCCAAAAAACAAAATATACTCACAAACATTGTAGAAACAAAAGCGTGTCATATACAAAGGGACCAGTACACAGGATCAGCTCTTACAGTGAAGGAAATAAGCTTTTGATCCCCTGCTGATTTTGAATGTTTTCCCACTCACAAAGAAATTATCAATCTAAAAATTGAATGGTAGGAGTATTGTAACATTGAGAGACAGAATAGCAACAAAAAATTCAAAAGAAACACATGTCTTACAAATTTTGCACTGATTTGCATGTTCATGAGGGAAATAAGTATTTGATCCCCTTTCATTCAGTAGGATTTCTGGCTAACGGGGATCTTTCTAACAGGTAACAAGCTGAGATTAGAAGCAGTTTCTTAAAGGGAGTGTTCCTAATCTCATTTTGTTACCTGTATAAAAGACACCTGTCCACAGGAGGAATCAAACAATCAGATTCCAAACACTCCACCATGGCAAAGACCAAAGAGCTCTCCAAGGATGTCAGCGACAAGATTGTAGACCTACACAAGGCTTGACTGGGCTACCAAACTATCTCCAAGCAGCTTGGTGAAAAGGTGACAACAGCTGGTGCAATCATTTGCAAATGGAAGAAACACAAAACAACTGTCAGTCTCCCTAGGTCTGGTGCACCATGCAAGATCTCACCTCTTGGACTGTCAATGAACATGGGAAAAGTGAGGTATCATCCCAGAACTACACGTGAGGATCTTGTCAATGATCTCTAGGCAGCTGGGACCACAGTCACCAAGAAAACAATTGGTAACACACTATGCTGACAAGGATTGAAATCCTGCAGTGCCCGCAAGGTCCCTTTGCTCAAGAAAGCACATGTCCAGGCCCATCTGAATTTTGCCACTGAACTTCTGAATGATGAAGAGGAGGACTGGTTGAAAGTGTTGTGGTCAGAGGAGACCAAAATCGAGCTCTTTGGCATCAACTCAACTCACCGTGTTTGGAGGAGGAGGAATGCTGCCTATTACCCCCAAGAACACCATCCCAACTGTCAAACATGGTGGTGGAAACATTCTGCTTTGTGGATGTTTTTCTGCTATGGGGACATGACAACTGCACCTCATCAAAGGGATGATGGACGGGGCAATGTACCATCAAATCTTGGGTGAGAACCTTCTTCCCTCAGCCAGGGCATTGAAAATGGGTCGTGGATGGGTGTTCCAGCATGACAATGACCCAAAAAACACACGGCCAAGGCAACAAAGGAGTGGCTCAAGAAGAAGCACATTAAGGTCCTAGTGGCCTAGCCAGTCTCCAGACCTTAATTCGATTGAAAATCTGTATAGGGAGCTGAAAGTTCAAGTTGCCAAACATCAGCCACCAAACCTTAATGACTTGAAAAGGATCTGCCAAGAGGAGTGGGCCAAAACCCCTCCTGAGATGTGTGCAAAACTGGTGGCCAACTACAGGAAATGTCTGACCTCTGTGATTGCCAACAAGGGATTTGCCACCAAGTACTAAGTCATGTTTTGTGAAGGGGATCAAATACTTATTTCTTTCTTGAACATGCAGATCAGTGCATCATTTGTTAGCCATGCATTTCTTTTGAATTTTTTCTTGCTATTCTGTCTCTCAGTCTTACAATACACCTACCATTCGATTTTTAGACTGATCATTTCTTTGAGAGTGGGCAAACATTCAAAATCAGCAGGGGATCAAATACTTATCTCCTTTACCGTAAGGCTGATGAGTTTCGAGGAGCGGTCTCCTCTTCCTCAGGCTGGTGCGCCCCCTGTTTCCTTTGTTTTTACATATTCACTCCAACACTGAGGTTTGCTACTAGCAACCCTAGCATGTCCCAAAAACTGCTGACTGTCTTGCAATGACTAGTTGCAGCACAGTGAGAGTGTTCATTCAGTGGTACACTGTGATTTATGCAGCAATGATACATGATTAGGTAAATGTATGCATTTTGTTGGGCAGATCTATTGAGAAAGAAAGGTGGCAATAAAAGTGTCACTGAGTGAACTTACATGTTTAATCTTTGAATGAAGGGAGTATTTGCGGGAACTACACCTGAGGGCCAGGTGTTTAATAATGTGCTTGTAGGCTTCTGTCTTCCCAGAACCACTTTCGCCACTAGGGATGAAACAGAGAAATTACATTAGTTACAGTAATAACGCATTGTAGAAGGCACCACAACTACGTTTAGGATGTATATGGTAATACTTCTGTATTTAGAACACTTTTTGTGTAAAATGATGATCTACTGAAATGTTCTGCTCACATTTGCTTCTATGTAATGAAAATATAGCAGACCAACAGAGCCACCTTGTGGTACAATAACTAACAGCTTTTTATGCTATGCAGAAACTAGCATCTCCTTTCAACTATGCTATTATTATTTATTATTATACAGGATTTATATAGCAGCAACAGTTTGCGCAGCGCTTTACAAAATGAAGGTAGGCATTACAGTTACAATACAATTTGGTACAAGAGGAAACAGAGGGCTGTACTCGTTAGAGCTTACAATCTAGGAGGAAGGGTTGAATAATACAAAAGGTGGAGGGATGAGCTGAGGGAGGAAATAAAATGCAAGGTAGAAGCAGGATAGGTTTCTTTAAACAGAAGGGTTTTCAGGGATTGTCTAAAGGTGGATAGATTAGGAATAGTCGGACATATTGGGGTAGGGAGTTCCATAGGATGGAAGAAGCTCGGCAGAAGTCCTGGATGTAAGCATGGAAGGAAATGACACGGGAACAAGAGAGCAGAAGGTCTTGGGAGGATCAAAGAGAGCGGTTTGGTTGATATTTTGAGACCAGGTTGGTGATGTAGCTGGGGGCAGAGTTGTGGATGGCTTTGTAAGTTGTTAGTATTTTGAATTTTATTCGTTGGATGAGTGGAAGCCAGTGGAGGGATTGGCAGAGAGGGGTAGCAGACACTGAATGATTGGTAAGGTGGATGAGCCTGGCAGCAGTATTCATGATGGACTGGAGGGTAGATAGCCTATATGAAGGTAAGCCAATGAGGAGGGAGTTGCAGTAGAGGCGAGAGATAACCAGAGAGTGAATTAGCTTTGTGGTATCATTAGTTAAAAAGGGTCATATTCTGGAGATGTTGCAGAAGTTGAGGCGGCATGATTTGGACAGGAATTGGATGTGGGCCTGAAAGGATAGTTCAGAATCCAGGGTTACCCCGAGCACTCTGGCATACGGGGATGGGTTGATAGTGATGCTATTGATCTTGAATGAGAAATCAGGGGAAGAGGCACATGGGGGAGGAAATATTATGAGCTCAGTTTTGGATAGATTGAGGCAACAAACATGCAGAAAACATGGTACTTACATGCATATAAATGGGTAATAAACCCAAAATAAAAAATATAATATATTGCAGCTTACAAAACGTCAGATGTGGTGGCTGCATTCATTTTTTTAAGGCTTTTTTCTCTCTGTTTAACCTATTGATCTGGCCAACAACACACCTCCTGTATTAGAGTGGAATAAGGATCACAGGGCACTTTTGAGCCAGTCACATTATCAGTCAGTGGAGGGGAGTATTAGATGTAATAGCAGATTTAAGTACACTAAAAAAAACTGAAGCCAAACTCCAGCTAACACTTTTTAAGCAGTTACAGCTATTGTTTTGGTCCTTTTGAGATAAAGGTTTTTACATAAATAAATAAAGGCTGATCACTGTAAGCAAGTAAGAAACTGTAACCCTGTCAGTGTTAAATGGTTTGTCTCAACTCTGTTTGTCTCAGACTGCAATATCTGAAGGACAGCATGTTCTGATGAAAAGCTAGATCACCAGGTGAAAATAAAAGAAAGCAAGCCAAAAAAGAAAGTTAATACAGCCATCACATCTAAGAATTGATAAGCTGCAATAAAATAAATGTTTCCTTATGGATTTAATACCACTTTAAGGCTAGTTCTCACACATTTATTTGAGCTAATTTTTTAAAAAAAATAACATTTAGTTTGGATTTTTTAGATTTAGTGTGTATTTCTTTTTTTACATTTTTAAACATTCAAACTCCTTCTATAACATCAAAGCAACTCAATGACTAATCCAAGAGCATTTATCCACTTGAGTTCCGGAGGGTTTTACCCCCTTCATGACCAGTACATTTTTTGCTATTCAACAGCACTGCGCTACTTTAAAGTATAACTTTTTAGCAATTTTCTAGCTTTGAATAGAGTGCAGTGGGATTAGAACACTTCTCAGTTTGTATTGATATCAGTGCCTTTGTTAAGGAGATTCACCCTCTATTTGTCCTGTTTACCATTATTATTGAAAGATAAATTAAAGGAAAATCCCAAATTTTGGGTTGTCCCCAGAAAAGTAATAAAGGGGAAATCTGTTTAGCTGTGGGTCAGGAAGTGAAGGGAAATCTCAGCAATGGGACACAGACGGCGAAAAAAATTTTTAACAGGGGTTATAACCCTCCCTTGCCCTATCCAGAATGAAAAAAAAAGTTTTGCCTATAGTTCTACTTTAACTGGCAATTGCACAGTCATGCAATACTGTATGCAAATTAAATTTGTATAATTGTTTCCACACAAATCGAGCTTTCTTTTGGTGTTATTTGATCACCACTGATGTTTTTTTTTTGCAATATAAATGAAAGAAGACCAAAAATTTGGAAAAACACAATATTTTCTACTTCCTGTCATAACACATATCCAATAAAATCAAATTGCATCATAAATTTTGTAAGTTGTAATTTTTTGTCACAATTTTTTTATAATGAAAGAAATTGAATAAAATGTGTTTTTTCTAATTTTTTTTAACATACTATCACCAGTGCAATATAGCATCATTATATGTCCAGGGGCGGACTGACCATTTGGAAACTCGGACACTGCTCGAGGGCCCGGGGTCAGTAGGGGGCCCCCTGAGATGCCCCTGGTACCTTTTTCATAGGCTTATTTGAGTTTGGGCAAGGACACAGGGGCCCCATGATCCCCTATTGCCCATGGGCCACATGAGTTGTCAGTCCGCCCCTGTATATGTCTGATGTGGAGGTGATCAGAGAAACTGTCTGGTGTCAGTATTTAAAAAAAAAAAAATGTAACTCATTTTTTATAAACATTTTTAAACTTTTTTATTTTTCATTTTATTTTTGTTTTACACTTTGCTGTTATGATGAAGATTATTGTAACAGCAAAGTTTATTCCTGTCATGAATGGGTTAAAAATGTAGATGTACGTGATTTTGCCTGCAGGTACCAACCTGCCGTAGTATGTGTACTGTGGCTGGTTGCCAAGTGTTTAAAAATGCATACTTTAAAAAAAATGGCTATTTGGTTTTCAAGAGGAATAATAAAAAGCCTTGGACTGGATATAACACTTATATACTGTATGTATAACACTTATATACTGTATGTACATTGTCCAGTTAACAACAATATTCAGCAAGTATTTAGTGTGAATTTCCTAGAAAAGGAGAAATTCCCATTCCATTTTTGATATTTTCTTCTAAAATAAATAGTGAAAACTTTCGACAGTATGGAAAAACATAACTGCACATTTCAATAAGGCAGCAATAAAATTGGCTGCCTTATAAAAAAAAAAGTAATTCAAGACAACCAGTAAAGTTCTTTTACTGATTACACTGCCTGTACAATAATCTGTGAATGGGGGAGACAATTCTCTGACCAATCATGATCTCCCCCATTCACAGATCTTGTTACAGGAAGTGTATTTACTGAAAGAATGGAGGAGAGGGCAGGAGTGGGTGTATCCCTGTCAAATCAATTTTACTTCAGCCCAGAGATCTGAAGCTCTTAACTCCTTTAGTGCCAGAGGTTGGACAACAGGAAGAGGACAGGGCAACCCTATAGTGAAGATTTCTAGAGAATGCAGAAGCTTCCATATCATGGGACTTGATTACAAGTAGTGATGGGCCAAACACCCCCATGTTCAGGTTCACGGCATGCTTGAACCTAATGAATGTTCAGCCGCGAACTTCGTACTCAAAGCATGAGACTCAAACTTGTAAATGGAAAAGTGCCCATTTTAAAGCCTTATAAGCAAGGTATTGGCCATAAAAAGGGTATGGGGACTCGGGCACTGCCCTGAGGGACATGAATCAGTGAAAATAAAAATTCAAAAAGTACCATTGGGGCAGTAATTTTTCATTGCTTAAAGTAAAAATAACTGAAAAAAAATTCCTGAGTGGACCCTCTAAACTACCTGCAAAGTTGCACATCTGTATAATTTATAGAACCTGCTGCAGCAGGACTGACATAAAAAAAAAAACAGTGTGGGGCCCCTCCCCTAATCCATACCAGACACTTTGGGGTTTATTTACTAAAGCTGGAGAGTCCAAAATCAGACTCCCTTCTGCATAGAAACCAATCAGCTTCCAGGTTTCATTGCCAAAGCTTCATTGAACAAGCTGAGGTTAGAAGCTGATTGGTTTCTAGGCAGAAGGGAGTCTGATTTTGGACTCTCCAGCTTTAGTAAATAAACCCCTTTAGGTCTGGTAGGAAGGTTTAGAGGGACCCCACAGTAATTTTTTTTCAAGTGTGTGGGGTTCCCCCTAAAAGCCATACCATATTTTTCCCCGTAGAACCATGGTGTCACATTCAGCAGGCAAAGGAAACCTTTGGTGGGCTACAGGTAAGGTGCCTCTGGCTGTATGCAGCACCTTTGTCAACTTAGGCTCAGTCTTTTAAACCCTTCCTACAGGCTATATTTCCCCCACTTATCTAGCTGGTCTTTCCTCCTTCTATATTTCTATTAGCTCCTCTGCAAGCCTATGTACTGCAGAAGAGCAAACACAAATGCAGTGAGGGAAAGCCAGTCAATGCAGAAAGAGGGATGTCTTTACACGGATAAAGGAGATTTTAGTAGGATTGCTGCAAGTGGTTGAGTGAAGCTGATGCTGTGAGTCCTGCAGAGTGTTGTGTATTTGGTACGTTATCCTCCGCAACACAAAGCAAACCCTCCTTCAACAACCAGAAACAGAAGATGATTTAAGATGATTGAACAGAAGATGACTAAACTATTTACTGAATGTGATCAGTAGTTATTAGCATCAATGTACTGTATGTGTTATTGTTGCTCCTAAAAAGGATGCTGCACAGTGAATTTGGTGTATCTGGCCAGTGAATTTAGGTAAAAGGTTGT